TTCTAAAATATTTAGGATACTACGCGCGCTGTGATTGGTCGAAAACCATGTTTGATTACAGTATCAAAACACGCTCGTTTCATATCGTATCAAAAGTCAGAATTTTTTACAATTTTCGTATTCTTTTAATTTTAGAAAAGAAATAAAAGACGAAATTCCGTGTTTGATACTCTGATCAAAACACTTGGGATGTAGGGAGAGCACTCGAAAAGCTGGAAACCACTCCGCTACGCGTCTGTACGCTTATCGACAATGAAAATGGCGTCAGAAAATGATCAAAACTCAAGTGGAACCATGAGCGTAAAAACCGTTCAGGTGGTGGTGTGGCTGTTATTTATCGTAATCCCTTCAATGTAAAACTATGTGAATCTGCTGTTTATAATTCCTTTGAATCCATTGAGCTGAAATTTTGTTCGTGTGACCAAGTGTTTTGTGTTGTTGTTGTTTATCGACCTCCTTCCTTCTCGTTTGGATCTTTCATTCAAGACTTCTCCTCATTGTTAGAACCGTTGTTTATTTATCCTGGTAAGCTTTTGATTTGTGGTGACTTCAAGTTAATGTTCATGTCGATGACAAAAATGACAATTCAAGCAAGAAATTTTTGGATCTACTTGACTGTTTTTCTCTACACTGCATCGACACGACTTACACACAAGAAAGGCCACGCTCTTGACCTTTTGATAACAAGAACTGATGATGTCTTCCTTCGTAATTTCTTTATTCATGATCCTGTTCTGTCTGATCACTTTGCTGTTCATTGTTCGCTGTCTGCTGTCAAACCTATTTGCAAGTCACGTACTGTCTCCTATCGTAAAATTTGYTCCATTGATTTAGATGCTTTTCGCCAAGACATTGCTAAGTCGTTGCTGTGTAAGTCGCCCGCTACTGAATTGTCTGCTTTATGCCACCAATATGACGCTRTTCTTACCGAAATACTAAACAAACATGCCCCTCTTCGAACTAAAATAATTTCAACTCGTCCCCGGGCCCCCTGGGCCCCCAAACAAAGCGTCGAAGACTCGAAAGGCGTTGGCGAAAAACAAAACTAACTATTGACAAAGAACTCTATGAAAAACAAGTGATTACACGTGCGATTCCATCGCAGATGATCTTTGGAAAATTTCATCGACTGCGCAAGCGAAAAATCGCTCGTGTAGCCGGTGCTTTACGTAACCTGGACACGGTATGTTCCACGAAGTGGATCTTGTTTTTCGTAAAAATGGAGGATTTTTTCTCAAACATTTCAGACTACTTTACTCTTTTTGATATTGATCTCAATCTTGACACTACGACTCAAAAAAATGTAAACAACAAAAAGAAAGAAGAAAGTCATTCAAACCCAAAGGAAACAAGATTTTTTCAACTATCTGAGGACGACCTCGACGAAATCGTTTCTACATCTACTGCGTATTGAACGTTCATCGTTCACTCGAAAAAAGCACAAAAATGTGTCTGTTTCCTCTGATTTAAACACGGTGGGAGTTGAAAAGCACTCGAGAAGCACTCGAGTTTTATATTTCTTAACTAATCTTTAAAAAAACTAAACATGAAAGGGAAAATGGCAATGCAATACTAAAACACTACACACGGAATATTTAAAAAAACGCATCCAAACCACTGGAGATTTGACCAAGGCAGTATTTGTATATAAGACAAATTAGCAAGATGAGTTATATACTTACCTCTGTCATTTATGAGATTCAATAGCAAGCACTGAAAAAACAGAATATGATCAATAATATACAATAATTATAAGAGTTTATTAAACAAGCACGAGGTCAGTACGGGAAAATATGAGGTCTTGACATAACGGACAAAAAAGACCTGATATTTTCCCCGTACAGACCGAGCAAGCGCTGTTAATAAATGTTTTGTTATATTTGTTGTAATGGAGCTCCCGAGCGGGCCGAAGTGAGCACCATAGCTAAGCCCCGGTTCATACATCGAGCCAGTGTCGCGCCAAACCACAAAGTTTAAATTTAGCACATGAACAGCTCGATGTATGAATCAATTGCCCTAGTTCATTATTACGTCACATCAAAACATTCTTTTGTTTTAACGCTAAGGATTATGGTCGCCAGAAGGGATCAGAGTGACTGCATATCAAATAAAATGTACATGAACAATCATTTATACATGATATATATCAAAACACGATTCATTGAAGTTCTACTTTAGTAGACAATATAAATGGGTCCAAATTTCCACTGTTTTTGAGCAT